AGAGGAAGTAGCGATGACAGTGCAACGAGATAAAATTCAATGTTAATGTGCATATTACAGTCTGAACACGTTAAACGTACAAAACTGTATAAATGTCGTGTATTTCTAACTGTGTTCATGAAGGGTTATAGTAACCAAAGGATGCAAGACATCATGGAAAGCCCCGGATCTACCCGAAGCTCGTTGGTCTTGATTGGATTTCACTTAATCTCACACTTGGGGCCAGACCAGTGGACTGACCTGCTTTATCCTCTTTCCTTCAGGATTAGGAGACAGAGAGCCGGACAGAGGGACGCTCGGAGAAACACAGAGAGAGGGATGGCTATGGAGGAGAAGCCGGGAGTGAAGAGCAGCAGCTCCATCGTCCCCTGCTTCCTGTTTGTGGAGGTAAGAGACATGAGAGTTACTTCACAGCATTGACATTCACATTAGAAAGTATCCTAATGCAGTACTCAATATCTTTAAAAAATGCTGCCATTATGTTGTGAAAATACTGAATGTCCTCTTCCAATATGAGAGTCCACATGATATCAAAGGTATCCCAACTGTAGCTGTGAACNTGGAAATTGTTGTTATCTTAAAGGTGGGGTAGGTAATTTTGGAGGAACCAGCTCGAGTGCGCTAGAATTTGGTGGCAGATTTGTTCCGGCTGTGTATTTTCAAATTCTAGCGCACTCGAGCTGGTTCCTCCAAAATTACCTACCCCACCTTTAAGATAACAACAATTTCCATTACTTTAGCTATCCGTTTCAACCATTTAAAAATAACAATGCCAACTATTTATGAATTACCTTTAGCTAACTTGTTATACTTTTCTCTTTGCTTGCTAACTATAATTTCTATACACTCTAAAACGCTAATCATGGTGTTCAAGTTTGACTCAAAATTTGTTTTTTTTAATCAAATCATAATTTTCACATTGTTTAGCCTCAAGCATCTTTCCAGGTACCGCCCGCCGACTGCTTTGAGAACCCTCTTCAGGTGCATATACCCATGGTTGCACTTAATCATATTTCCATCTCAGTGTGTGGCACAGATCACATTTTTTTAAACCATGTATCACTCAGAAAGTGCAAAAATAATTATTTTCCATTATGCCTCTCTTCTGGTTTTGGCCCTGTGCTTCAGTTCCACTCGGCTCAGATAATCCAGTCTGAATCCCAGCAGATTTATTTGAAGCAAACAGGTTCACATTGTACTTTTCCATATTTGTAAGTAAATGTTGGCAGCAGCAACGCACAACTGTCACCTCGACATCCATCATTTCAACTCATCTCTTTTTTTGTGTTGCTTTTCCCTTCTCTTCTTTACTTTCTTTTTCCAATCAAAAACATATTTTTTCCCAGATATTAGATCACATGTTACATACTCAATACTCAATACTGTGGACAATCCCCACTGGAGCAATTTGGGGTGAAGTGTCTCAGGGACACAACGACATGCTGACTGCAGTGGGGTTTGAACCTGTGACCCCCTGATCCCAACACCTACGGACAACCCACTACGCCACACGCCCCCTGTGTGTGTGGCGTAGATATCTGTTGGATCATCATGTGGCAAATAAACAAGTCCTCTTTGTATCTCGACATCGCTTGAGCTTGTTGTATACAGTTCTCAAGAACAAGACGAGCCTTCTCCAAGAAGCCAATACAAACACATGTCAGGAGTGAAGTGAGGCTGAATAAGTGTTTCCCTCCCTCACATCAATTAGATCCTCACCTGAAGCGGTTCCCATGTAGTGCCAACATGTCTGGTCCTGAATCTAGGCTTACCTGTTTGAGTGATAGGAACCTGTGAGAAAAAAACACTGCACTGACGATATCTCCTGATGTAATCATGTACCTGACAGGTGCACAGGTGGGTTGTAGCAACATGTCAAAGACTAGCGCAATAGTTCAAGCACAGGTGCAATTCTTATACACAAGTTTTTATAGTGAATTTGTAAAAAAGTGTTTGTTTGTTGCTACATTTTCCTTTAGTATACTCGTATTTATATCTCCCAGATGTATATATTTGTATTACAACATGAATAACTCTGCACTTTCTGCTTGTTTTGTACTTCTGGTTAGATGCCTACTGCATTTCCTTGTCTTAGTACTTGTACTCTATGCAATGACAATAAAGTTGAATCTAATCTAATCTTTCTGAGTACAAGAGTATTTCATTATCAATTCCACATGTTTGCTGAATTATAATTACAACTGATTATGTGTTTCAGTAAACAGAAACTGGAGGTTCTTCCACAAGATTTCATCCAAATATTTTTCCAGAATGTAGAACTCAAGCAAGCATAAATTGTTTACATGAAGCAGTCAGACAAAATTCCCTTGATGGAAACAGCGAGCCAGTAGGGTGACATTATTTATAGTTAACAGTGACATGAGCTCTTCAACAGCGTGAGGTTCAAGGCCCTGTGGGCCGATATCCATCCTGCCCAATTGTCCTTCTGCCAAAACACACAAAACTCTAAACTGCTTTGCGCTGTTAAGTAGCATATCACATCCTCCCTGTTCGGAAAACCAAATCCAACACGGATAAATACCTATGATTATATCAAGCTTCCAATATCACATAATGGCAAGTGTACAGTTACAGTTAATTAAAAGTACTGCCGGTAATTTGTTACAGTTGAAACTCCTTAGTTGGTGGAATGAGAGTATTTGATGCAACAACCACACATTACTGATATGAGCCCAGACATGTCAGTATGTGTGGGATTTGTTTGATATTCTGCGGCCTTACAGCATAAATATATCGAACAGTCTTCCCTCACATTTGTTCAAATACTGTCACGATCTGTCCATGTTTTATTTTGTCCTGTCTAGTAGATCTGTCTTTGTTTTCCTGTTTTAGTTTGAACCCCCGCCCCCCGTCTTGTCTGTTGCTTCCTGTCTCTGTGTTCCCTCCTGCCTGATTACCCGATTGTGTTCACCTTGTGCCCCTGTGTTTTCTCCTCCCTCCTCACCTGTGTCTTGTTTGTGTGATTAATCCTGTGTGCATTTAGTTTAGTCTTTGTGAGATTCTTGATGTTGCTGGAAGGATTTTGTTCTGAGAGATGTTTACGTTTTGCCTTGCCTTATTTATTTGAATTTGTTGCCTGGCCTAGTTCCGCAATAAAAGTGTTTTGGATTTCAAACAATAGTCTGCATTTGGGTCCTGCACCTTGCCCTCCAGCCGTGACAATTATATCTGTTTATTATTACAATAAGGAGTATTTAATTCTACTGTATATTATATTGTATATTGTATGTTTCACTGTTGGAGGAGCTCTGGACTTTTTTCGCCAACAACTACTGTAGCTTTATGTGCATATGACAAGAATACCTTCAAATCCTGACTTGTTTTTAAAGCAGACTTGTGGTCAGACTAGACCTTGTTGACACACTAGGGAGGCCCTAGTGATGCAGTCCATCCAGAGAGTCACTGCTACTTATATGGTCATAAAAATCCTTAGTATGCACATACCTCTCTCATTAAACACAGCTTTATCTGTGCCCCTCTCTGCCCTCCCTCCTCTCCCCTACACTCTTTCAAGTTCAGCTTTAAGCCCCGCCCAGCTGCTGTCACTCTTCCGCGTTTCTGATTGGTCCAAAGTGTGTTGGCTTAACACAGCGCAGCCAGCCATTGGTTAAAAGGGGGCGGGACATGCGCTTTAGGTCCCGCCTCCTCCTGGACCGCACCCATGGCTATTTGGGATCCTACTGAGTACTGAGTACCAAAGCCCAAAGACAGGGCACAAGTTGAAGCAAATCTTCGTAGTGGCAAAACGGCGGTACTACAACTTGGGTGTCAGTCCATTACGTCGTTGGATACACAAATACTTTTCTCCATTGACTTACATTGGGAAAGAGACGTCTGTAAATCAGCGGATACTTTTTTTTTTAGCTAAATAAACTACCCAGTACGAACACTTTGATAGCCCTTATTTAAATCATTAAGGTCTTAAAGTTGTGAAATGCTCTAAAAGCCGAATCCAGAGTTATTTTCTCACTCCATTCATTTGACTGACAGAGGAGGCGGGGCTTAAGGGAAAACTCAACTGCGCATGCTCTATGGGCCCACATACGGGTACTTTTTATATTTTTATTCTACAATTCTTGGTAAAACAATTCAAAATGTAGCTAATAAAATACAAATTTCAACCCATTTTTCATAAGATAGAGATTGTCTTTTATATTGAACCTTCCTGTTGTTCCAAATTTAATAATTGGGTGGGGAAAATGTGTGCTTTTAAATTAGTTTCCAGGCCAGCAGGGCTAAAAGTTAATTAAAGACTTTGGGGTAATTTTATTGGTATCACTGTTTCAATGTTTTATGATTCTGTGATATAAAGCTTTCTGTTTCTTTTATAACTTATTTTATTTGTACTCATTGTTATTGTTATGTATCTAGTCTTGCTCTTTGTATCAGGGGTAGACCAGGGGTAGACATATAAAGTAATTAAGGAAGAGGATTAGGGTCACATGAGAATTTATTTTGGGATGTGACCAAAAGTAAAAAAATAAATTAGTTCTGACTCAAATAATGTCAGAGCCAAAAAAGTTCTACATACAAAATAAAAAAAATAAAAATACATTTCATATTAAAATATATTTTAAATGCAAAATCAGCCTTTCTATTCATAATGTGTTAATTAGTGCTATTATATTGTTTTAATAATTGGTAAAAATGTTCAAAAATTGGGTTTGGAGTCAGCCCATTTCTTTGTATGAATACGACATTTCCCAAAATTAAATTAACTGTACACTAAAAAAAAAACTTCAATGAAGGGTAGATAAAAAATAATGTCTCCATCCTGGAATAATCTCTCATACATTCATAGAATAAATAAATACATAAATGGCAAATAGGCTACTTGTAATGTATATTATCCTGTTCCTGTAAATTATTATTATCATTTTGAGCTTCATGCGTCACTTAGCATCTCTCGGAGTCCCGCCTTTAAAAGCTGGATCCTTTCCTCTCTCCATACTTCCATGCTGCTGCCTGCCTACGTACCGAGAGAAACGAACCAGTGAGCAGCCACCCAGTAGAGGAGGGAGGGCAGAGGAACAGGAAAAAAACGAGTGGAGTGGAGAAAGAGAGGAAGAAGGAGCAGCGTAGTTTAGCCTGAACCCGTCGACAGGAACACAAGTTTTGACTCACGGCGACGCTGACTGAGCCTGTTGTTAGAAACCCTCTGAAAGCAGGTAATTCTTTGCACACTTTTTCACCGCCATGTTGGCACTCTTTCCTTAACTCATTCAATGAAAATGCCATGAACCAGGAAGCACGGGGTGGCTAGTTAACTGCTTATTCATGACTGTTTTTAAATGCTATTTTATCATGTATTTCTGCACTTTTGTAAAGCTCTTTGAATGATGTTGAAAGGTGCTATACAAATAAACGTGCCTTGCTTCAGATGGGTGGACACCTCCTGAACAGATTTTTTTTTACCGAGGTTTAGTTCACTTTTTTACAGCACTTAACTTACATTATATAATGTATTCGACTCTAACATACGTGACATTTGAGTTACATGTTCGTTTTTAAATTCAAATTATAGCCGTTAAACTAAAAAAGCCATAACGGTTGGTGGTGGCAGGAAGTGATTTGCGTGAATGAGTTGCAAAAAAAAAAAGAAGGGTCTGTTTAAGAGTTCAAGTTGGATGAAAATGAGATTTAAGTAATTGCACCCTTATTGGACACCGGATGAGTTAATGTGTATTCATAATTTGTGGTTAAACTTTTTCGGTTGGTGGGAAACGGACGCTGTGTGTGGCCAGTAATATGTCTGGCTCGCGGGCATGACGTCACTGGTTTACCGGTGGACTTCAAAAAAAGGAAAAGGCGCTGTGCTTCTTCTCGGGTCATCTGCATGTCTGACTTTTCTTTCTGTTCAACCCCGATGCTTATACCGGGGCCTTTGAAGGGGTTTCAATGGGCCCCCAAGCAAATACATTTGACTGTGTCACAGATTTAGTTGGATACTGCTTTGACCAGTTGGTTGAAAGTATGGGAAGCAACTTGGTACATTTACTCGAGTACTGTACTTGACATTGTGTGCTACTTTAAACTTCGAGGCTACTTTACAACAGTTTGGAGTCGAATATTGCACTTTTGGTTCCTCTGCATTACTTAACTACATTAGTTACTCTGCAGGTTCATACCATTATTTAAAAAAAAAATGAATGAATTATGATTAAAATAAATAAATAATGGATTAATTTACCTGGTGATATAAAAAGTCATTACATTGAGCTCCACCTCTACCTGCTGCAAAACTAAAATGATGTTTAATAAATATTTGTACTTTTAAGTACCTAGTATTTAGATTCTAGTACTTTTACTTAGGTTTAACATCTAATTACTACTTCCTATAATCAGAGTTGTTGACCTTTTGTGCACTCTTAATTGAACAAAATCACAAGGGTTGGAGGATATTCTGAAAATGTAATATAAATATTTGTTTGTCCTTACTTGTAATATATATTTTTTTTTAGTCACCCATGGAGTCTTTCAAACATGAGTGAGGAGTGACCACCCAAAATGACTAATACATATTACAGAGTTGCATAAGAATGTAAAACATTTGCATACAGCTCAATATTGGACCCGAGAAATATAAAAGGAAAATGTGTGGGTTTTAAAAATACCCTTCATAAAACACGTTTTGGATGTGGCCTTTGAATGCCTGACATTACGAAGTGTTTAGACAAAAAACATTTGGCATGCATATTGCTCCAAGCCTAGGGTGCATGATGCATTGGCACTGGTTCTGATATCAGCCAGGTTTCAGAATGCCAGGCTGGAAATCACCAAGTTTGTCTTGTAATTACAGTGTGGCCAACTCTGATGAACAGGCAGCATGCATGTTTTTGTATTGCAATTTTTATGGAATATATCAATATCAAGCCAAGTCATTTTTAAATGTAGTAGTGGCCTTTTATGGCTGTAAAGACTTTGAAGACACCATTGACTTTTAGACCCCGGATTTAGAAAATATAACAAAAAGAACTTCAAAGAGGGATCATATTGTACTGATATAATTACATAAGCAAATGTGAAATAACTATATAGATCAAACAAAATCACAGTATGAGTAGGACAAAGTACACACTTATTGTAACATTAAGAAAACCGTTAGAATAACATCTGATTATTGCAGTGTTACCCATTAACGGGAAACTAACCTTTAATTGAGGCTAATACCAATGCATGTCTCGGCTAACCCACTTCATGTTTTTATGAAATATGTCAGACTTTCTCCAGATCTGTAAAAAGTGTCACATTCTCACTGTGCACACCTGTTTGTTTTGTCTGCGCAATTGCTGTTTGCTCTGTTTGATGGCACATCATTGTGTTTGCACTCTGGTAAGCAAACAGTCTCTGGTATGCTAGCACGCCCTGCTGACATTGAGGCTAGCAAAGGCTCTGACTGAGGTTTAGTACAAAAAAACATGCATTAACTCTACCTGCAGTCAAACTGGGCACCCAAACCTGCTTCTCATTGTGTGATGTGTTGGTAGGAGTGTGTGTGTGAGCGGCACTTTTTTTGTAGTAATCATAACCATACTCTTACAATCAGCTGATGCCAAGAAGCTATTAAAAACACAGTATGCGCTCACCACAATTAATAACATTTTGTTTCCCCAGCGATTGTGCAAACGACTATTCATGCTGAAAAAGTTATTGCAATATCGGAGAACAAACCGCACTTTGTTGGCAGTCATATGTTCCATGTTGTGTGCTTTAGAAAGCCATATCAGATGTAGCCTTAAAAGGGCCACATTGGGGGACACATGTCATATCCTGTTGTTGTACCTCGAGTCATAAATCAAGTTCTAGTAATGAATTGTGCAATGGCTTTCTCTGGAGGCCAGTTCTTCTCGTGTAGTGCCAGTTACAGCAGTGTTATGAAGACCCCTGCAGAGATCGTTACATTCCTTCAGCCGTGTGTCAGCAATGTCCAAACTCTGGGCCCCCGGGAGAGGTGTGTACTGTTGGATAGGCCAAATTAAACGCAGACATCTTAAAATGTGAACAAGAGGCCCAGGCTGTTCAAGCTTCCCAATATGACAACGTCTCAAGGGAACATGCCTGTGGATGTTCTAGGTTTTATTGAAGGTAGTTGGTAAGATTGTGTGTTTTTAGAAAAGGAGTTTATCAAATGGAGGGCCGTGTAACACACACACAACACAGGGATGTTTATTGGGATGAACTCTCGAGGATGTCAAACATTTCTAATCTTTTATCTGTTAGGTTTGTGCCCTTCTAACTGCATTTATAGGTTAAATCAAGCGTTGAGTTCAGATAGTCAGGATAAGAGGAGAGAAGCCCTTAGGGTGACAGGCTGGAAAGACTTTTAAAAACCTGCTGAACTTGAGCTACAACTGAAACTATTTGTGGAAAGATAATTGGTTAATTGTTGGTCATTTTGTAAAGCAAATATGCAAAGAATTCACTCGCTCCAGCTTTTCAAATGTGAAGCTTTTCTTGTTTTCTTTCTTAGTTGGTTGTTAACGGAATGTTATTGGCTTTTGTGCTATTATTTGGAAAAGACATGTTGTTTTAACACTTCAGCGAGGCTTCTTTTTGGGCATGTGCTTCTCCTGTTTGGCATTTAGATTTCAGTCTAAAAAAATATTTGAAAGACTAATCAGAAACAAAAAGAGCCGTTGGTTGCAACCCTAATCTGCGCCAACTACTTCTACAATAAAGTACAATATGTCAGTTGCACCATGCCAATTTTCTTTTCCGAGTACATCACTCAGGCTTCTTCTAGTGCTACTTAAAGATACTTTCCAAATATGGATCTGTTTTGGTTCCTATAATCTTTTAATGGTTTTAAATGGCATATATATCCAATAGTGTTTGGACAAAAAGATCCACTTAAAAATGTATTGACTTAAGATATCAATGAAGACAGTATTGAGATGAAACATTAACAACAAACAATGTCGGTTGCATCCCTAATGTCCGCCAACTTCTTCAACAAAATACATAATGTTAACACTTCAAAGGAGGCTTCCAGTTGGACTTTCCCCAGTTTCTTTTCTGAGTATATCGCTCAGGCATTTTCTAGCCATACTTAACTCTAGTAATAAATGTCGTGGATGATTGCTGGGCGGTGAAGCGTCATGCTTCTCCTGGTTTCCTACACAGTCAGCTGAGATTCATTCATGCAGGCAACACATTCCAGTCAGAGCGGAGACTGTTAAGATCCTCCATTAACCATGGCAGAGCTGATCAGGACTTTTCTCACTATGTGGTCAGAGTCTGGCTCATAGTCCTCGTACTGGCTCAAATTCACTGAGTAAATAATAATAATAATAATAACATCTTTTTTTCTTATAAAGTTGTTGATGCGAAAGAGTTGGATCTTTTTACTTGAGTAAAAGTAAGAATACAACAGTAAAAAAAATAGTAGCAAGATATACTTGATTACAAAAGTTCTCATGAGGTATGACTCCTTTAATGCATTAATAATCTGAATCTGCAAAGTAGCTACTAACTAAAGCTGTCTAATAAATGTAGTAAACTAAAAAGTACAATATGGATTTCTAAAATGTTGTGGAGTTGAATCATAAAGTAGCACAAAGTGAGAATACTCAAATGAAGTACAAGTACCCTGAATTTGAACTAAAGTACTAGAAAACGTAGTAGCATTTCACCACAGATTACAAGTAAAAAGTCCAAAACAAGTTGAACAGCATGTTGAAGTGTCCTCAGTCTGAACGGTTGGGCTGACTGCCTGAGGATAGATCTGCGCAGTGTGTTTTGGGTTTCCCCATTTCCTTTCGCTGCCGTTTTATTTCTTACATTTCCTCGTTGTGTCTTGGCCTCCTCTTCTCTGTGCCCTTTACTCCCGCCTGTGTTCCTTCATTTCCTCGACCCCCCCCACCTCCTGCCTCTTTTCTTCTGTGTTTGTCTTGCTTTCCTCCATCCTCCCCCTCACAGCACCTGTAAGGTTACAATGAGGGCCGAACAATAGCAGGAAATGGTTGCACTCTGACTCGGATTAAAGCAATGCCTTGTTCAGATTTCTGATCACAGACTTTGACCTGGCCTCTTGTGACGGATACTTGCGGCTCTCCAGATAATTCAGCTTTCTGTTTTGTGGCACCAGTGATGAGGTAATGCTCGATCGGTGATTTCCGACCTCTGCGGTGGAGGTTAAATGAACCAACTTCCTGTTTGTTTAAGAAGA